CCTATGAACCAGGAAGTCACGGGTCGTATCCAGTCAGGGCACATGCCTTGTTGTGGGCTGGATCCCCAGTGTAGGGCGTGCAGGAGGCAGCTGATCCCATGATTCTCGCTCATCAGTGATGTTTTTATCTCTCTCCCTCTCCCCTCCCTCTCTGAAATCAATAAAAATATTTAAAAAAAAAAATAAATAAAAGGTTGAGGCAGCCCCTGGCTGGTTTGCTCAGTGGATAGAGAGCGTCAGCCAAAGGACTGGAGGGTCCCGGGTTTGATTTCAGTCAAGGGCACCTGCCTTGGTTGCAGGTTCCCCGGCCCTGGTCAGAGCTCCTGCAGGAGGCAACCAATCAACGTCTCTCTCTCTATCGGTGTTTCTCTCTGTCTCTCCCTCCCCCTTCCACTCTCTCTAAAAACTCAACGGAAAAATATCCTTGGGTGGAGATTAACAACAACAAAAATTGTCGAGGTAAGAAACCTGTAAGAATTGTTGTGAGTTTATTTGAGCCAAACTGACAACGATTGCCAGGAAGCGGACTCCTGAGGGAGAACATGCCGGAGGGTGGCGGTTTTGCAGCGTGTTCCACATGTTAGCACCAAAGCCGGAGGCGGAAGGGGTCACCTGAAATCCCTGGTGGGAGGCTAGGGAGGCGGGAGAAAGCGCGGGGACCTCTGGGATTGGATAAAAAGTAAAACGGGCGGACACACCTTGGCGGGGACAGGACCACTAACCGCTAACGTCCCCAGCACATGGAGGTGGTATGCAGGAACACAACGACATGAGGCTGCTCTGGGGGGAGGGTGTGCCCGGAGGAAGAGATGCTGTGCCGTTTCTAAGGCATGTTGTCCTAGAGGCCACAAGTCCAGGTAAGGGACAGACTGACCTTCGTCAGGAGATGCCGGCCTAGGACACGATGACCCGCCTCGACCCGCGTGTAGCCAGGAATTTTAGTTCCAGCTCATCCTGTGTGGCTGCTGTGGGTCTCTGGGTTTGTAAGGCTACCACCGAGCTTGCCAGGTTTAATATGTGGCTTCGGCCCGGCCGGCGTGGCTCACTTGTTGAGCGTCGCCCTATGAACCAGGAGGTCACGGTTCGACTCCCAGTCAGAGCACATGCCTGGGTTGCAGGCTTGATCCCCAGTGTGGGGCGTGCAGGAGGCAGCCGATCAATGATTCTCATCATTGATGTTTCTCTCTCTCTCCCTCTCCCTCTCCCTTCCTCTCTGACATCAATAAAAATACATTTTTTAAAAATGTGACTCTGTTTTTCACCCCAAAACGTCCCCCTGGTCCTGGCTCTCCCATCCTGTGCCCCAGCGGTCCCATGAGGGTCACTGCGCCGCCCCCTCCCTGCCCCACTCGGTGCTCCACCGGGAGGCCGAGGGCAGAGTCTGCAGCCCAGGTGGCACATGGACAGGGCCTGCCAACCACGGGGCGCCCCGTAAGGGTCTCCTGGGGCTGCCGTCCCCCCTCCGCCCTCCCCGCTGCTCTGTGGGCTCTGCCCATCCCTGTTGGCCCCACAGGTGGGACTGGCCAGAAAGGCCTCCCTCCCCCTCCAGCTCCCTCTGACCCTGAGCCAGGCTGCTGAGGTCAAGGGCTTTCCTGCAGGTCCCAGACCCCGAAGGTGGTGCCCTTGCCTGCCTCTCTGTGGAACGGATGGTCAAGGTACCCCCTTCCTTGCCCAAATCCTGGGCCGGATGGGAGAGATCTGATCTGCCCACTATTTTGTTTTTCCTTTGACTCCAACGGGCCTCCCTGACTCACCCACCGCCCCACCCTCGCTACGCCCTTGGGACCGCGAGGCTCTGGTCTTCATAGCCCAGCCTCGGGCTGTTGACCACAGAGGCAGCGTTTACGGTTACGCCCAGGCCTCAGCTGTGCTTCAGCTCCAGAATGACCCACGAACTGCATCCTGGGAAACCAGAGCAGGCGCTGCCCGGGCGACGTGGGTCCAGACGCCCGGCCCACCCGCCCGCTCTAGCCCTCGCAGGCCGTCCGAGCATGAGCACCTGCGACGCTGGTTGTGGCACCACCAACTCCCAATAAGCCCTCGCTTCCTGGCTGCAGAGTCCTGTGTGTGTCCTGTTGGGCTTTGCTGTGCAGGCAAACGGGCCTCCCTGGTGAGCCGGGCCTCTGTCCGCCGACAGCTCTTCAGGTCAGTCCCAGACACAGGAGTACGTTCCCCCTGAGCCCTGTGCGTGGAGCTGACATGATTGTCCCGAGTCCTAACCTCCCCCCTCCCCCATCACCCTCAGTAAAGTGTGTGGGGAGGTCATTACAGGGAAGGACACTGCGGACCTGGCACAGAGCCAGGAGGACAGGCCTGCCCAGACCCCCAAACCCTGAAAAAGCCAAAAAGCCGCCGAGGCCCAGCCCTGCTCCCCAAATGAATCACTCCACAGCCGCTTCTGAAGTCAGCTTTATGTCAAGCTATAAAAACACGGGTCGTGTCCCGAGGACACGCATACAAAAGCAGTGCTATCAAAAATAACATCAGTGACATCCAACACGTGAACGACAAATGTCCAAAGGCTCTGTGCACCGTTTTCGCGGCCAGTTCCTGGCCAAGTACCTGGACGGAGGGACGGACCCTGGAGAGAGAGCTCGCCCGACCTGGCGGCGCCCTCAGAGGCCGAGTCACACCTGAATCTGCTGAGAGGGCCTATGGGGTGGGCCGAGGCCAGGGGGTAACTGAACACGTCTTCCCGGGGTAGGACCAGGTGCTCTCCAGGGCAGGGGACGCATGGAGGCCGTGGTGGGCAAAACCATGGCCCCCCAAAGATGCCCACGCCCTAACCTCTGGAACCTGTGACCATGTGAGGTTCGCGGGAAAGGGAATGAAACCAGGCTGCCAACCAGCTGGCCTCACAGAGCGCGCGGTGCTGGGCTATCCGTCTGGATGGGCCAAAGGTAATGGCTGGGCTCCTTGCGAGTGGAAGAGGGAGGCGGGAGCGAAGCCCTGAAGCCCTGCCCTGTGAATGGCTTTGAAATGGACGGGACCACAAGCCGAGTCATCTGGGAAGGTGGCCTCTAAAAACCGCAAGAGGCCAGGAATCCACCCCCGGGAGCTGCCAGCAGGGCCGAGCGCCGGCCCCTTGCCTTCAGCCCACTAGAACTCTGACCTCCAGAACTGAGACTTAGTCTTGTTTTAAGATACTAAGTTTGTGGAAATTCGTTATAGCAGCAGTAAGAAACTAATATAGGTGCAGAGGGGTCAGAGGTCAAGCTTGCCCAGCCCAGTGGAGGACCCAGGAAGGCACCCCTGGGCCTGGGTCTGCCTGGGGGGCAGCCTGAACCCTAGAAGACCCAGGAAGCCCCTTTCTGGGCAGGGGGTGCCTTTGGGCAAGGCAAGTAGAGAGGGGTCGGGGTCTGAGCTGCAGGGGTCACAGGGCAACCTGGAGGGGCTCTGGTGCCCGCTCTGCCCAGCTGCGGGGGACTGCCGCCCTTCCCAGGCCAGGCAAGAGCTCATCTTTCCCTTCTTTCCTCCCAGCTGCCTTCCATTCCAGACTTGCTGAGCCCAGCTGGTCGCAGCCCTGGGTGAAGGGGGCAGGTAGGTAAGGCTCGGCATCCGGCCCTAGGCACTCAGCCCCGGCCACGAGGGCAGCTCTGAGGTGGCCGGGGAGGGCCCCCTGGAGAGGAGATGACCCAGGGTCGCTGAGCCCCGGCCACTCTGCTCCTTTAGTGCATGACGATCAACGGCCACTTCTCAGGTATGGTCTCTGGCTCCTCAGAGGTGTGCTCCCGCCCCACCAGGCTGGTAACGAACTGGGAGCCGTCCGTTCCAGCTGCCCCCGGGCCTGCACCAGGCCGGGGCTGGGTGGCAGCAGCAGCAGCATCAGAAGGCAGGAAGCCCGGGAGGCCGGAAGCCAGGTGGGGTGACTGGCTCGAAGTGGAGTGTGTCCGAAGCTCGCCGGGGCTCACAAGCAGGTCGGTCCACAGGAAAAGCTAACCAACCTTTATAAGTGAAAATAGGGCCTTGGCGGCCTCGGGGGCCCCCGTGTGGACGTCCAGGATGCTCCGGATGCTCTTGACTTCACTGCTGGACAGGTTCCCCTTGATGGCCAGGATGGCGCCCAGGTGGCCTTTGCTGTCAGGAGGAAGTCCCGTCAGTCCAGCCGGTCACCAACGGCCCTGCTCACACCCTTCCCGCTCTCCAGCCTCCGGCCTGAGCCACAGCGCCCCGCAGCAGCTGCCGCCCGCTCTCCTCCCATGAGCTCCAGCAGCATGGCCACCCGGCCCCCCGAGGGCACGCCTGCTCCTGCCACCTCAGGCCTTTAACCGGCTGTCCCTCCTGGAATCTCTTCCACACGCTCTGAAGGGGACCAGCGCCTCTCACCTTTAAGTCTCAGCTAAAATGTCACCTCCCCCAAGAGGCCTTCCCATCCCGAAAGCCAGCACCTCCTGCGGGTTACATAACCTTTCCAACGTGCAGGTGGATCCCTTTGCCTGACTACTATGAGCCCTCCGTGGACTATAACCCACATGAGGGAGAGCAGAGGCCTGCTCCGTCTTGTACATCATTGCATCCTGGTACCTAGAACCGAGCCCGGCACCTGGCAGACCACTGCTAATTGTGGGTGGGCTGGTGGGTGGATGAGTGAATTGATGGGCGGAAGTCGATGGATAGATGCATGGATGGATGGATGGATGAATGGATGAATAGGTGGGTGAATATATGGATGGAAGAGTGAGTGCATAAGTGGATGGATGGATGGATGGATGGATGGATGGATGGATGAAAGGATGAATGAGTGAGTGGATGGAAGGCTGAGGGGTGAATGGATGGGTAGGTGAATGGAGAGATGCAGAGTTGGGTGGAAGATGGATGGATGCATGAAAGGATAGGTGGTGGACGTGTAGGTGAATGGGTGGCTCGATGGGTAGACTTGTGGATGGTGGGTGAGGCGATAGCTGGATAGCTAGATGGGTGTTAGATGAGTAGATGGGGAGATGCTGCTTGTATGGGTGGGTGAATAAGTGGGTGCATGTGGAGGTGAGTGGGTGGCTAGGTGGACGAGTGCAGTGGATCAGCCAGGGGCTACACTAGGCTGAGCTGTCAATCCAACTCAGGGCCCATTCAAACGCTCTCCTCCATGTCAGAGGACTCAGCCCCAAAACCCATTTCCTGGGCTCACAAGATCCTCAGGCAACCGCCACTCTGGAACGGGGGACCAGGACCCAGGACCCAGGTCCAAGCCCCAGGCCCCCGAGGATCCCTAGGCTGAGTGGTGGACCCCAGCTCCATCACTGACCTGCTACAGCCTCTAGCAAGTCCCTGGTCTCTCTGGCCTCAGTTTCCCCTCCAAGGGGCAGTATCATCAAGGCTAAGAGTGTGGCCTGTGGAGCCAGACTGCCTATATTTGTCATCTTAGCTCCAACACTGACTCACTGTGTCACCTTGGACACGTGCCTTTGGCTCTCCAGGCCTCATGTGTAAATCAGGGATGAAAAGCATCAGTCTGGCCTAGCCCGTTTGGCTCAGTGGGTAGAGCATCCACCTGCGGACTGAAGGGTCCCAGGTTTGATACCGGTCAAGGACATGTGCCCGGGTAGTGGGCTCAATCCCCAGTAGGGGTCGTGCAGGAGGCAGCTGCTCAGCGATTCTCGCTCATCAGTGATGTTTCTGTCACTCTCTCCCTCTCCCTTCCTCTCTGAAATCAATACAAACATATGTTTAACGAAGGAAAGCGGAAAGCGTCAGCCTGTAGGGCGGTGGTGAGGGTCCAGTGAGTGAGCCGCTGTGAGGCTTTGCCCGGGCGCCGGCAGTCGCAGCCCTCAGCAGGGTCAGCACCAGGACTGAGTTGCGTGGCCAGTACTGGAGCACCACCCACCCCAAAGGGGCTGACGCAGCCAAGCCAGGCTCTGACCGTGGGGACCGCAGGGCCACGCCGACTGCCCAGGTCCCGGGCTGCCCGGTCTCACCTGAAGTCAGGGTACCAGGTGGCGTAAGTGGCCACCTCGATCTTGATGGCACTGGGGTCTTGCAGGCGGATGATCTCGGCGAGCGTCGGGAGGGCGTGGTGCAGCCAGGTGGCCGGGGAGCCCTGCAAGCACAGGCCTGGTTGGAGGGAGGCCGCCCCTGCTCCAGAAGTGCCCCCGGGCCCAGACTGGTTCCGCCAGAACCGATGGAGCTTGGAGAGGCCCAGAGGGCAAGGGCAGCCCATGGGGGACCGGGGTGCGTGGTGAGGGGGGTGGAGTCGGGGCTTACAATCTGAGTGCAGAAGTGCTGGATGACTTCGGCGTTGGCCAGGACCTGCCCGGCCAATTGCTGCTGCTGCTCCGCCGTCTTGAGGACCACGCGCCGCTTGCAGAGCCGCACGATGTACTCCTTCACCAGGTGCAGGTGGACAAGCTCCATGAGCTCCTGCACGGCCAGGGGCAGAGGCAGGGCCGTGAGCCAGCTCCCCGCGGAGCTCAACCCTCCCCTGACAGGAGCTTGAGGCCTCGGGGCCAGAAGTTCAGGGAGGACAGACGCCAGGGCAAAGGAGAGCATACATGTGTGGGCGTGTGCAGTGCTGGTGGGTGCGTGCACAGGCCTGTGTGAGCCCATGCCCGCTGCACCGCTGCCAGGCCCAGCCCAGCCCAGCCCAGCGCCTCACCTCCTGGAAGCACTCGCGCAGTTCTGAGAACTCGGGCAGCCTTGTCTCCACGGTGGAGAGGATTTCCTCCAGGGTCTGCGCAGAGGCCGCCCAGCGGGTCTGTGTGAACCTCTTGAACAGCGGCTGCAGCGGGAGAAAGGCAGGATGTCTGGACCCGCCCTGCAGGGGAAGGCTGCCAGCCACACACGAAGACACGCACACTGATTCTCGGGGTGGCCCAGGGGCCAGGGACCCAGGACGGGACTCAGGTCACAGGCAGGAAGTGGAGGGGTCTGTGTACCCTCCTCCAAGGACACCCAGCTGGGGCCCCTGCATTGCAGGCGGCCTGCGGAGGCCTTTTCCACCCTCCCCCCACCCCGCCGCCCCCAAATAAATTCCTGTATAAACAAAGCCTCGCGCCTGACTGGTGCCAAGTCATCCCGGGTCACTGTGCGGCCTTCACCGCCAACTGGCCACC